GTGAGAGTGTGTGTGTGTGAGTGTGTGAGTGTGTGAGTGAGAGTGTGTGTGTGTGTGAATGTGAGTGTGTGAGTGTGTGTTTTTATGTGTGTGTGTGTGTGTGTGAGTGTGTGTGTGTGTCATCTCATTGAAAAATGAGCCTCCAGGAAGTTTTCTCTCGCTCTCGCTCTCGCTCTCTGTGAGAACCTCATGCCGTCATTCTGAGCCGCTCTCAGGCGCTCCGGTCTCAAGAAGCACAACCACTGCATTGTGTATCCCGTAAACACACCATTCACAAACTACAGCCGACCTCCCTCTCCGGACGAGTGAATGAAACACATTCCTGCTTACAGCAACAGAGCTGCATTTACATCCCACTCGGAGAAAAATCATTGTGTCAGTGCTGATGTCAGTCAAAACAACCATTTATAGTCCGCATCGTTTACTGTTGATTCAGAAAGCACTTTCAGTAACCTGTGAAACACTAACAAAATCATTTAGACAATTGTCTAATTTGTGATTTAGCTACACCCTGAAAGGAATAGATCAAACAAAAATAAATATTTTCTGAAATGTGCTCACACTCATGCCATCTACAAGATGTAGATGAGTTTGTTTCTTCATCAGATTTGTAGAAATGTAGCATTGCATCACTTGCTCACCAGTGGATCCTCTGCAGTGAATGGGTGCCGTCAGAATGAGAGTCCAATGAGAGTTTGTTTCAGCTCAAGATGTTAACTGATGGACAGGAGTGGTGGATTATTGTGATGTTTTTATCAGCTGTTTGGACTCTCATTCTGACGGCACCCATTCACTGCTGAGCAAGTGATGGATTCTCCAAATCTGTTCATATGAAGAACCATTTTTGGTTTCCCAAATGAACAGTTCTGTGAAGTGTTAGTGTGAAGAACCTTAAAGAACCTTTCATGCAATGAAAACCGAAAATTATGCATCGTTTTTTTAAGAGTGATAAAACAATTTGATATATATTCCGTCTCCAGTGTGAAAGAGCAGCGCACATTAACTAGTACAACAGAAATCCAAACCTCAGAGCATTGTAAGAACAGCCTGCTTAACCAGTCCTTCAGAGAAGCTTCAAATGGCCCTTTCAAAGCGTTGAACAGCTGGAGTTTGGGCAAAAGGTGACCTGAACAGTTGCAGAGGCCACAAGTTGAGCAGCTGCAGCTCCTGCTCACGTCTGCACTGCGCCTACAGGATCAACAACAGTTTGAGTGTTCTTATAGAAGAGCCATCCCAAAATAGCCCTCTAACTATGTTCTTCTGCTGCTTCTACTCGCAAAATGTGTCAACTGCAGTTCTGTTGTGTGAAAATCACTGCATGGACTGGTTTGTTTCAGTCACATTTACATGTATCCATTTAGCAGGTGCTATAAATTGAGTTAACTGAAGGCTTAAAAAGTTATAAAGCAGGCTAAAGATGAACAGGGCGTTGGATTTTTTGTATTTGTCCAACATGCTATAAATAAACAAACATGAATTTGGGAATGCCTCAGTGTTTTGTCTGTCTCTTTTGATGCATGAACAAAACCTGATGCTCATGTTCTCCAGCTTGATCTGAGACCGCATCCAAAGAGCATCTTGAGCTTTTGTGGAAGAAAGAAAATCTGACTGTCTATACAAAGAGGCACATGAATAGAAATGTAAAAATATAAATAAATAAAAATAGTTTAATATTTTTTTTAAATAACTTTTTATTTATATTTATTTTAAATGATTTTATTTAATTTTTCCAGAATCCTTTCCATTTACTTTCCAGTTCGAATATTTGCATTGATTTTGTTGTAATTCCAAGTAAACAAAATATAATAATAATAAAAAAATCTGATTTAGATTTTCCCAGATTTTCAATATAATTCATTATTTGCATTTGATTAGTCACATAGGAATTTGAAAGAATTTTAAAAAAGAGAAGTCTTTATTAATTTAAAAAATATACATTTTCTAAATTATTAAAAATATTAATAAATATTATATTTAACATTAAATATTATTTTTGTTTATTTTAATAATTTTTAAAATTATTTCTAAAATGATTTGTAGTGACTTTTCTTTTTTCTTCTTCTTTTTTTGCAGAATCCTACCTTTCTTGGCTCATTTCCAAGTGTATTATTCTGATATTTTTCATTGATTTTCATTGTTGTATTTCCAAGTGTAAATTAACAAAAAAACAAAACAAAAAAAAAATCCAGACTTTTAGTGACACAGATTACTTACATTTAATTAGTCACATAGGTATTTGAAAGAATAAAAAATAAAAAGTATTTATTTAAATCAAGTTTATTATTCAAATATTAGATTTTTTAAATTAAAAAAAATTTGATTTTCAGTGTTGTATTTCCAGTTTAAATGAAAAAAAAAAAAATCCCAGATTTTCAACTTGGTTTTAGACGTTTGAAGCTTGCTTGTTTGACAACCTCACATAGAAACCAATGACTTCAGAAATAATCCTTCATGCATTTAATGTAGCTCAGATGAAAGCGCGCCCACCCTCCTCGCAGACCAGAGTAACTTTAGGGTGAAAATAGTAAGACTGTAGCGCGAGTCAGTGCCAAGACATTCCAGCTCAGAGCAGGATTAGCTTCGATTAGATCCCAGCAAACGCTCTCAGCACACAACACAGCAGCGCTCTCAACAAAGACCACAGGAGGAGGGCGGCTTCTCAAAAGAGCTCTAATTATACACTTAAATATATTGAAAGAGAGGAATGCATTTAGGCTGGACGGGTTTGAGAGGATCATCGCAATTTGCAATCTTAAAAAATAACTTTAGCATCTAGAGCCCTCTCCAAAAAACACTTCATTTTCTAGAGAAAGAGACAGTCTTATAGTGACACTCTTTAGTTTAAGTTCCTCTTCACCTTCACGTTGTTTGCAAATGCCTCTTATTTTCAGCTTTTCTTCTAACCAAAAAATACACAAGTTAAATGTCAGATTTAAAACCGTTTATTAAGTAAATTAAAAAAATCATGACTAAGTGATAGATTTAATTTAAACTCACAACCTCAAGATATAAAATGCATTTATAATTTTGAAATTAACCCATAAACATCAGTGAATATAAAAATTAAGATATCGCATATTAAGACATTCAGATATTGTAACTTGTGAATAAACCCCAAAACATAAAAAGTACTGTAAATAAATAAAAAATATTAAATAATAGATTTTGGATATTTTTAACACACAGCCCCAAGATATAAAATGCATGCATAATTTTGAAATCAAGCTTGTAATTAAAACCCCAAAAATAAAAAATAGAAAAAGTATAGATGTTTAAACACACAGCCTCAAGATATAAAATGTATTAAAATAAAATTAAGGCAGATATTGCAGCTCGTGCTAAAATATTGCAAACCCCAAAACATAAAAAAAGAGAAAAAGACATTAATAGATTTAATTTTATATTGACATGTATGCATTTAGCAGATGCTTTTATTCAAAGCAACAAATACATTTTTTTGCTCTCTCTCTCTCTCTCTCTATATATATATACACATATATACATATATTGCAATTTTAACTTTATGTTTATAATATACTATATATACATTATAATATTTATTTTTTCTCAATATAACAAAAATGAATGGTCTTTAATAAATGCAGAACGAGTAACACAGCTGTCTTTTACGTGAACACTGCTACTTACTGCCCCAGTGTGAGCTTGTCCTGAAGTACAGTACACTGGTGTTATCGCGAGACTGGACCATTAACAACCTGCCTGACTGACACACACACACACACACACACACACACGCAGCGCAGATCTTCACGCGCACCGGACTCGAATCGCGCCGAGGAGCGGAAACACAGACTCAACATCTGGACACACACCATGAGAGCTCGCGGCTCCATCTGAGGACACAGCGGTGAGTGCGCGCTTTGATGCGGACCTGAATGAGACACAATGTATCCGCGGCGCGTTTGATCCGCCGCCGCTCCTCACGAGACCGGAGTTTCTAATGCAGCTCAGCGCATCAGCTTACGAGATGTTTGGGCGTGAAATAAGACGTTAAAGGAGGAGGAAAAGCGCGTAAAAGTTCCGCGTAATGCGCCGCTGTCTTGTTCTCGCGAGTTTGTTTTCTAACAAAAGTATCCTGTCATGAGCTCGCTCGCGCTCCGAACGCTTTCATATGAGCGAGACGCGTCCGTCTGTCTGTCTGGGGATCGTGTTCAAATTGAAACGCGTTAAAATGCAAGAACTCAGAAGTTTGAGGTTCCTCAGAGGAACATATGGCATAAAGACACAGCTGGAGATTTGAGGCTGATGTCAGAGCAGCTGACTCTAACAGATCTCACACACACACACACACATGGACGAGAGGTCGCGTTCAGTCGTCTAGTGCTCTGGAACTGTGCTTCTCATTGCGTTTATATGATGTTCGTCATGTTTGAGTTCGCAAACTTGCGTTTGGAGATGCGAGATGTTGTTTGCGCATGACTGGACTGACGCTCATTCACTGCTGCTGTTCGATGAGAAGCGCAAAGTGAAGATCAACTTGTGCGAGCGCTGAAACAAGAGGGTATGTTGAGGTGTGCGAACATTTATTTGTTATAGATGCTACGCTTAAATGTTTGAGCAAGTTGCCTTTTATCCACTTTTTTGAATTAATTTCATTTTTTTGACACATAAACTGTAGCTGCGCGTCACAAAGCTCTCGGAAGCACGACTTGTTTTTATTGCATTTGATTGTCTTTGGTGGCCTGTATGTTGAATTAGAAGTGAAGTAAACGATTTTTTTGTAGCTTGAAACTATAATTGTGAGACAGCTGTTTGTTGTGTATTAAAAAGCATCTTTGAAACTCTATTAAAATGCCAGTTTTGACAGATATACTGCAGCTGCGCTACATTAAAAACTAGTTTTTAATGTAGTATATCTTTGGTGGCCTGTAGGTTGAATTAGAAGTGAAATAAAAGTTTGTTTTGTAGCTTGAATCTATAATTCTGAGTTTGAAACTCACAATCAAATGTCAATTTTTGACGCAGTCGATATAATGTAGCTGCATTACAAACATCTTGGAAGCACAACTCCTTTTTAATTTTAGTATGATATTGCATTTGTTTGTCTTTGGTGGTCTCTAAGTTGAAATCAGAAGTGAAATAAATGTTTTTTTTTGTAGCCTGAAACTATAACTCAAGAGTTCTGAGTTAAAAAAGCATCGTTGAAACACAATTGCATGTCAGTTTTTGAAATATACTGAAGCTGAGCATTGCAAACATCTTGGAAGCACAACTTGTTTTTATGATGTATGTATACTGCATGTTAAATCAGTAGTGAAATAATTCTTTTGTAGCTTGAAACTATAATTGTGAGACAGCTGTTTGTTGTGCATTAAAAATATATACAGATATACTGCAGCTGTGCATTGCAAACATCTTGGAAGTACAATTCGTTTTTAATGTAGTAGGATATCACTTTTGTTTGTTTTCAGTCACCTTATGTTGAATTAGGATTATTTTGTAGCTTGAAACTACAGTTCTGAGGTCTGAGTGTTTGAAACTCACAACCAAATGTCAATTTTTGACAGTCGATACATTGTAGCTGCATTACAAACAGCTTGGAAGAACTTTTTTTCAGTGGCCTTCAGTGTGTTTTCATGCCTGTGTGTTGAATTAGAAGGATTTTCTGCGAGATAACACCTTTTTCTTTTTGTTGGGCATTCAAAAAAGTCAGGTTGTTTATTTTATACAATTCAGATTGTTTCAAAGCAGCTTTGCAGGAAAATAACATGCAAACTTCTTCATATACGAGAAGCGCTAGAAGAAAAAAAGCCGCTTGGAAACCCACGGGTCGTGTTTGTAATGCAGCACACAGCGGGTTGGGTCTACTTTTGTTTGTCTCCGGCGGCCTGTAGATGCACTGTTGTGAATGGCTACCCGGCGTTTATTTAACATCCAGTTTTTCCTGTTTTCCGGCAGGTCACACCATAAGAATGGAGTTCCCAGACCATAGCCGCCAGTTACTGCAGTGTCTGAGTCAGCAGAGACACCAAGGCTTCCTCTGCGACTGCACTGTGCTGGTGGGAGAGACACGGTTCAAAGCGCACCGAGCCGTCCTGGCCTCATGCAGCATGTACTTCCACCTCTTCTACTGCGACCAGCTGGACAAAAGAGACGTGGTGCATCTGAACAGCGACATCGTGACGCCGCCGGCGTTTGGGCTGCTGCTGGAGTTCATGTACGAGGGAAAGCTGGAGTTCAGCGCTCTTC